ATCAACTTAATAGGGAAAGGGGTCATAGGTGTCTTGGGGAGAGTGAGTGACTTTTAGGAAAGATAATGGGCCCTTGGAAGAATAGATGGGGTAGGTATGATACTTGTGACTAAATTTGTCTGGATGTGGTATCCATTTCCTGTCTTGTGATAGAGGTCATCCATCCCTGGTTGAACCCACTAGGGAGGGGATCTCGGACAATTGAGTTTCTTTCGGAGGATCTAAGGCAGATTGAAGGGGAGTTCGGAGAAAGCTGCCTTCTGCATTTGCTGTTTTTCAAGTGCCTGTACAGCTCAAAATAATATACCAAAGTGGCATACTTTGAGGTGGCATCTTCTACTTTTCAGACTCTGTGTGAGTTACGTGTACATCTCAACGGTTGCTTCTTGCTAATAAGCAAGTTTGTTTCTGTCCTAAATTGTACTGTGCTTCCACGTTGACCAATCAGTTTGTTGGATGTTTTGTATTGTATTTTAAACATGCACGTGTTCAGTGCTTACATCTACAATACTTGTTAGAACAAGATAACCAAGCAAATACATTTTATTTGAACAGAATCTTAAATGTGTGTCTTCAAAAAAAAGTTATTACTCTAGATTTATGAACAATTTAGACGAGTGCTTTCATTTGTTGATCTGTAAATTGCTTATCCCTACCCCATCTTCCCTAACGTGTTTGCATCCAAATTTGATTTCATGGTGCATGCCTGTTAATTTTTTAAGCTGAAAGAGAATTCTGTCTATATTGAAATGTAGGTGTGATTGTTTTGTGGGCAAAAGGGAAAGAAGGATATATGTATTTCACATGTACTGTTTGAGAGTTTTAAGAAGGGACAGGGGGAAGGGGGGTTAGGTTCATCAGAGCATGACAGATTTGTTTCACTCACATGGAGCTAAAAGTTACCATTGTTGTCAAATAATGTTTGCATTGTTAGCCAGACTCTCTGCCTAAGGTGTTTTAACCTGTAATGCTCAACCCTGCACCAGGGAGCTATTATTTCTCTTTTATGGCTGAAGAAGATTCAACTTAGAGAGTTCAAAGGACATTTATTCAAGGTTATAGGGTAACTTCAGAAGAGTGATTCACTCCGATACCCAGCTCCCTGGCTCCTTCTGTAACTTCCTTATATGGATTCAGAAAAACAATTGAAGCGTAAGCAGAACTGCAAACCCAAACCTGCAGTATCGTGGAGTTGTAGATTGTTGTAATTAGAGGCTGGATGTACGTGGGATGATTTACGAATGGCTTTGGAAAACAACTCTTGCACGTCTGTCTGAAAGCGGAGCACCAAAGGCAGGTGGTGACATTGACAGTTGGACAGTCTAGGGAATGGAAAAGTAGTAGTTTATTTGAAATGGCTCTGCTTTTGAGGAAGTTGGGTGTCTGAATACATCCGCCCACCCCTTCCATCTTCTTGCTGGATTAGAACAACCATTGGGGGAGCCTGGAAAATTCTTCTGAGGTTGAGGGTTTTCTGAGTGCTCTCAAGGGGTGGGGGGTTCCTCGTCTGGGGGTATTCACAGGCAAGCCCCCTAGCCATTAAAATACTACCATTAAAAAAAACCCAGGTCTTTGCAAATGTTTATTTCAAAAACACATACTCTGTTATAACCATGTTTAGAAAAGTAGAAAATGTTTCAAAGCACTCCCCATTCCTTTTATAATGATTGAGTAACCTTAATACTAAAATCCTTAAGGTGGTACAAAAAGAAAACTAAAGATTGCTTTTGATGAGTATACAAGATTTTTAGTAAATTAAATCTAGCAGTTTATTTAAAGAACTCTAGTAGACCCAAGAAAGATTTAGTTCGGGAACATAAGAATGGGAATCTTAAGAAATCTGTCAACATGATTTATTATATGAATTATTTAAAAGAGAAAATAATGTACTAACAGATGACAAAGAATTTGGGGGATATTTAGCAGTCATTCAAAAAGTCTTTTAAGTAAGATAAAATTGCAATGGAAAGGAAACTACCCAAACATAACTAACTGTCAGAAACTTAATGTTATATAAAAAGGCAAAATACATTAAGGCATTTCCAGTAAAACTAGAAATAAGGTCGAAGATGCTTGTTAACTTTATTCAACATTGTTTTTGAGGCATTAGCTAATACAGTAAGGTAGGAAAATGAAAACAGTATAAATATAGAAAGAATCACTATTTGCAGATGAATGAATGCTTAGAAAAATCTAGGAAACTCACCTAGAAAGTTAGTTGAGTTCGTGAGAATTTGGGGAAGTGATTGGATGGAGATAGTCTAAAAAAATGTTTTTTAAGCTATGCTAAATGCAAAAACAGTTTGAAAATTGGAGGTAGAGAGTGGGCTAGAGATCCTATTCAGAAGAAAGACCAAGAATAATGACCAATTGTTTTTTTTAAGTTACTAATTTTAATTCCAGTGTAGTTAACAGGAGTATTATATTAGTTTCAGATGTCCAATATAGTGATTCAGCGATTCTCTGCACGACTCAGTGCTTATTACGATAAGTGCACTCTTAATCCCCATTACCTATTTCACCCATTGCCTCACTCACCTCCCCTCTGACAACCATCTGATTGTTCAAGTATGAGTGAAATCTTACGGTATTTTGTCTTTCACTGACTTATTTCACTTAGCATAATACTCTCTAGCTCCATCCACATCGTTACAAATGGGCAAGATTTCATTCCTTTTTTTTTTTTTAAAGATTTTATTTATTTGAGAGAGAGAATGAGAGATAGAGAGCACAAGAGGGAAGAGGGTCAGAGGGAGAAGCAGACTCCCCGCTGAGCAGGGAGCCCGATGTGGGACTCGATCCCGGGACTCCAGGATCATGACCTGAGCCGAAGGCAGTCGCTTAACCAACTGAGCCACCCAGGCGCCCGATTTCATCCCTTTTTAATGGCTGAATAATATTCCGATGTGTGTGCGTGCGTGCAAAATTTTTTAAAAATCATAGTGCAGGGAAATTTGCCCTGTTGTTTGGTAATTTACTGTTAAAGCATAGTAATCAAATAGGGAGTGTGATGTTGACACAGGAATGCACATATGAGAGGAATGGCACAGAGACTTTGAACATGTCTGAGTGTGTATTCGTACAAGTAATGGATGGCCTAAGGTATATTTCCGTTTGCTTGGGAAAAGGAGATTGAGTTGATTTCATAGGTAACACCAACACAATGGGCTGTCCATCTCCATGAGAACAAAGTTAACATGACCCTAGAAGCCATAGAAAAATTAATCTCAGATGGCTTAAGCTCTGGATACAAAAACTTAATACATTTAGGTAAATTTGACATATTTAACCTTGGAGTTGGAAAATCTCATAAAGAAAGACAAGAAACACAGAAACTACAACAACAACCTAATCCCATAAACGAAGCTGAAAAACTGGTAACAAACATGACAGGGATTTAATCCCTTTAATAATACAGAGGCCCTACAACTTAAGATATAAAAAATAAGATAACTATATAGAAAAATAATAAAGGACGTGAACTGGTATTTCTCAGAAGACAAAAATCAAATATCCTATAAACTTATGACAAGATGCTCACCCCTGTTAGTGGCCCAGCAAGTTCGTGTGAAAACATTAGCAAGGGACTTGACAAAATAGAAAGAGGGACAATATCCAGGCAACAGGGGCTTGCATGCATTGCTAGTTGGAGTGTGAATTGCCATCTAAACTATAAAAACTAAAACGGACATGCCTTTGGTCTCAGCAACCCACTGTTTGAATATCTGGCCCTTCGAGGAGGCTAAAGAGTAGTACATTATTCATGGAATGATCTAATTAAAAAAAAAATACCATTACCCTTCAAAAAAAATTCTATCATTACCTAGAACGGTGTTAGATGAAAATTTTCAAGTTCAGAATGTGTGTGATCCTAGTTCTAAAAAAGAACAGCGTATGTGTTTATGTGAGAATGTGTGTTGGTAAGAGTATATGAGCATATCCCACAGGATTGATTAGTGTCTTCTAGATCGTTTTGTGGTTGTACTTAGATGGTGCATTAAGTGAAGCAAGTTATAAAACAGTAGGGCTGTAAGATCAGGTTCTTAAAATTGTGACTGAGGATCTGTGTAAGAACATTTCAGAGGAAAAATTCTAGAATAGGTTATTTTAGGGAATTTTGACAAACTTCTGACTTCTATGAATTTGTTTTTCATGAGTGTATTTTGTAACTAGAAAAGTAAAAGACAAGGAGAGTAACTCTTGCTAGTTTGTTGCTTACAGCAGCATATAGCTTCAGTACCTCAAAGATTAAGGCAAGCCCTAAACTGAGTTCCTATACAGTTGACCCTTGAACAACATGGGGGTTTGGGGTGCTGACCCCCCACACACAGTCAAAAATCCGCATATAACTTTTGACTCCCCCCACAATTAACTAGTAACAGTGTTGACTGGAGGTGTTACCAAGAACATAGTTAAATTAACACATTTTGTATGATATATGTGTTATGTACTGTATTCGTACAATAAAGTAAGCTAGAGAAAAGAAAATCATAAGGAAAATACTTTTACAGTGTTGTACTGTATTAGGAGAAAAAAAAAAACTGCAAATAAGTGGACCCAGACAGTTCAAACCCATGTTGTTCAAAGATAAATGTGTTTACTGCACAGGATCTGTTCGAGAATTCCAACTCTTAACTGCTGTACTCGTTAGTAATTGTGATTGTGGGAGTTGGTATTTCTTACACAGTTGTATTACCAACAGTACTCAATCAAAGTGGTTAAAAAAATGAAAAACTGTAGGTTAATAGTTCGAGGTAAGATGCAAAAAATCAATAGACAATGAAGTCATTCAGTGCCTAGCATAAAAGAAGAACTAAAAGTAGAGGAAAATAGAGACAGTAGTAGGAGAGGCAATATAGATTAGAGTTAAAAGTGTGAAATTGGCTTTCATATAGATCTAGGTGTACTTCTTGGCTTTGTTTCTTATTGGGTACCTTTGGACAAGCTACATAACCCCTGCCCCCTTTCCCTCCCTTTCTCCCTCCCTCACTCTGTCTCTCAAAAGTATGGGACGCTTTAGGAATTTGTGTTTCATCCTTGTGCAGAGGCCATGCTCAGCTTCCCTGTATCATTCCAATTTTAGTATGTGTGCAGCCGAAGAACACACTACCACATAATCTCTCTCTCTCCCTCTCTTTTTTTTTTTTTAAGAGAGGGAGGGGTGGAGGGGTAGAGGGAAGAGACTCTTAGGCAGGCTTCATGCCTCTCCCAGCACGGAGGCCGAGGTGGGGCTCGATCCCACAACCCTGAGGTCATTACCTGAGCCGAAATCAAGAGTCGGACCCTCAACCGACTGAGCCACCAAGGCGCCCCTACGTAACCTCTCTTAACTTGGTTTTTCCATTTGTACACTGTGGATACTAATAGTACCTGTAGATTTGTTGCTTAGATTAAATGAGAAGGCAGACAATGCCTCTAGCAGGCACTGAATTGTAGCTGTTAGAGGCATGGATGGAAGTCATTTTTGTTGGGATCCCAGCAGCAGTTTGCGTTTTCCTCCCTCCTCTACAAGGCTTTAAATATTTCCACCCACATGCGTCAGCTCACGTGCATCTATTCCTCTTCTCTTTGGAAGGTTCTAATAGAAGACTGTATTCCAGTACTGAAGAGGTACGCCAAAGAAGGGAGAGAGTTTGATTATGTGATTAATGATTTGACAGCCGTTCCAATCTCCACATCTCCAGAAGAAGGTAGGTTCTGTTTTTTCTTATATAACCAAGATAACATTCATGAAAATGTTTTACTTGGCACATTGTGAGAATGGAAGGATCTTAGAGCTTGTCTACTTGATTGGTTCCTTCATTTTTTCAAGGTCGTTCAGTTGAGGCCCACAGTGGAAAAGATGGCTGGATTTCAGTCACTGAATGAGCAAATTTACTCAGTTGTTGGAGAGAAACATTAAATAAAATGACTCACAATTACATCATTGAGAAATTAGCTTGTTTGAGAATTTATTTCTTTTATGTGATTTTTAACCCGTACTGGGACAAACTGGTGAGCTTTCTCAGCAACACCAGAGACAGTTCCCCATTCTCAAACCACACACTCCAAATCAACCGCTGGTGTGGCATTTCGGTGTTAGTGTTTTTTTCTATAATCTTGCCTTCCTGCTGAGCTGGCACACTGGGTCCCCACGTGATGACTCTTGCTGTTTCTCTCTTGGGATGTCGCTGCTTCCCCCTTAAGCTGTTGTCTTTCAGATTTCAACCACTGCCTTTTTGGTCAAATCTTTATTGGTATCGTTAAAGCAGTGCTAAGCACATGAATATTTGCTTTTGACCTTGCTTGAGTATGTGCACGTGTGTGCAGGACACGCAAAAACGACAGTAAGTTTTCATGAATAAGCTCTTGAATATTGGGTCTTAAGCCCTTGGCTATTTCTTTATTTTTTGGGTATTGTTGAATATTAATGTGGATAATTTGACTTTTTAGATGTTGTTTCTGATGAATGCAAACCTATATATTAATATAACTTAAAATTTTTTTTTATCATCCAGATTCCACATGGGAGTTTCTCAGACTGATTCTTGACCTCTCAATGAAAGTACTGAAACAGGATGGAAAATACTTTACACAGGTAGACTACTTAATTGTTTTTTCCCAAAACTCTCAATGAGAATTGTATATTTTGAAATTTGCATGTATTTTATTGAAATTTATATCTGTTAAGGATAGAACGTCGTAACTGAATTACGTTCTTTCAGGGAGTAGTTTATAAATAGCTGACCTGTCATCATCTCTTGGGAATTCATGAGTCTGTGCGTGTCCCCCTTGCCCACTGTCCTGATTGAGCAACCTTGGGCTCTGGCTGTAGTACGCGCTGCTGCCACCAGATGGAGACACAGATTGGGATTGGGAGGTTTTTTTTTTTGACTTCTCCCTCTTACCCTCTAGGAGATTCTTCATTGGAAAGCCAATTTATCAACATAAGTTTCATAAACTTAGTATGAGCTCCTACCACCAGATGGAAGCAAATTGTTTCTTTCTCATTCTCTATGGGATTCTTAAATTTAAAAGAAAGTTTAAAGTTTGTATCTCTTGTTATGTAAAATATATATTACATATATATAACCTACTAAAGCCCTGAAGAAAATTCTGAAGGTGATCTGAGTCTCTTTACTTGGTACAACAATCCCTTGATTCATAAGCGGAAGATAAGCACTTACTTGGGTGGTATTGCACTATGGTCCCTGTAATTCTTTTTTTTTTTTTTTTTTTTTTTTAAGATTTTATTTATTTATTTGACAGAGAGATAGCACAAGTAGGCAGAGTGGCAGGCAGAGGGAGAGGGAGAAGCGGGCTTCCCGTGGAGCAGGGAGCCCGATGCGGGGCTCAATCCCAGGACCCTGGGATCATGACCTGAGCCGAAGGCAGACGCCTAACGACTGAGCCACCCAGGCGCCCCTGTACTTTTCTTTATAGATGTTTCACATATGTGTAATTTCCTAAATCATTATATTGTTTACCTTGCTTTTGAACTTGTTAAGAATGTATTCTTCTGGGGGCGCCTGGGTGGCTCAGTTGGTTAAGCGACTGCCTTCGGCTCAGGTCATGATCCTGGAGTCCCGGGATCGAGTCCTGCATCGGGCTCCCTGCTCAGCAGGGAGTCTGCTTCTCCCTCTGACCCTCCCCCATCTCATGCTCTCTGTCTCTCATTCTCCTTCTCTCAAATAAATAAATAAGATCTTAAAAAGAATGTATTCTTCTCGACCTGTTATTTTTTTTTTTTACATTATGGAAATCTTAACCTGCTAACTGTAAAATTTAAAAGATAAAAACAGGTGCCTGGGTGGCTCAGTCGGTTGAGGATCCGACTCTTTTTTTTTTTTTTTAAAGATGTATTTATTTCATTTGAGAGAGCACGAGTGGGAGGGGCAGAGGGAGAGGGAGAGAATCTCAAGCAGACTCCCTGCTGTGCACAGAGCCTGGCGCAGGGCTCAGTCTTACTACCCTGAGATCATGACCTGAGCCTAAATCAAGAGTCGGATGCTTGACCGACGGTGCCACCCAAGCACCCCATGTATCTTACTCTTGATTTTGGCTCAGGTTGAGCCCCACATTGGGTTGTGCACTGGGTGTAGAACCTACTTGGGATTCTCTCCCTCCCTCTCCCACTGCGCCATCCACCCCCATGCTCTCTCTAAAAAAAATAAATAATAAAAGATAAAAACAGTACAGAAATCTATAAAGTAAAAAGGCAAGTGTCACCCACCCACACGTAACATGGGGCAAGGAAAACTTAGACCAAACTACCGAATTGGTATTCACCTCTTAGAATGCCTTCCCCTCCAGTGATTCCCTTCCCATCCTTAAGAGGTATTTAATTCTCTGCTATTGGGTTTTTGTTCTGCATCTCTGTCTTTTTTTTTGGTCCACTGAGACATTTTATTTGCACGTATGTATTACATCCCTAGAAAAAGAATCCCAGGATTTTCCCTCCTGTGTGTTTTCATCTTGCTTCTTATGGTCCATGATGCCAGCTAAGGGTGTCAGTACAGTGAAACCAAACCGGTGGGGCGGGAGCAGATTCTTCTGCCATTTTTCTAGATCTTTGAGTTGTACATCAGATCTGGGGCTGATGACTCCACACTTGTTTCACCTGCCCGTGAGGTTCACAACAATGTTCCCAGCTCTGTGATCATCAGTGATTTCAGATTCACCATTGTAACCGTGCTAAAATGATAAGCCCTACCCCACACCTGTGGAATGAAAATCACTTGTAATTCACATGCACAGCACAGTGAGAAACGAGACATTGACTTTGGAGCCTGGCTTATTAAGTACCTGGCATTTGCCTCCCTTCTCGGCATTGTTAGTGCTCTTGAGAACATCTGCCAGGACGTTCAAGCGCACCGTTATGGCAGCAAAGATCCAATATGTCTTTCTTAAGAAAAGAAAGAAATGTATTTCCATTTAAAAACACAGGAAAGTAAAATGTATCACATTACTTTTTTTGGGTAGGTCTCCATTTGTGGTGAGGTTTTTTTCCTTTCTTTTTTTAAACTGCTTTTTGACAATGTTGGGGAAGAACAAATTGAAACTTTCCTATATCCTTACCACATTCTCAGGAATGACGTCCTCCCATATGACCTCAATAAAGAGAGTGTGGTGTCAATTTTAAGATGGCAAGAAAAAACACTGAACTGTGCACCTGGGTGGCATTTTCCATTCTATAGCTTCCCCAGTGGTGATGTGTTCTAAAAACATCCAGGCAGTGTTTTCTATTTGTGAATCTTAAATTACACATGTGGTGTTTATATACTCTCACGGTGAACTTGATGTTGAAACCAAATTATATACTGGCCAAGGGCACTTTGGCCAAATCCCACTGCAGGACCCTAGATGATGGGTTACTAAACAGGCTGGCACTGAAGGACGATGTCATGCTGAGCGAAGGTGCCAAGTTAAAACCACTGAGGGTAGCTCTCAGAATAGTTCTTTTTGCCCACTTGCCTGTGGCTGGTTGGTTGGTTTCGAAATGCCCTTCGTGGGGATGCTTACATCACAGGATGCCTTCATTTGTAAATGATTTTCATTTTACATTGTACTTGGCTGTTCTGAGGCTCATTGATAGTGAAGTTGTTAAGAAGAAATAGAATCAGCATATATATTCAGTAGTCTTCAGAATGCTAAGAACTTCAGAGGTTAAAAGGAAATAGATGATATTAAGTACCCATTATGAAAAGCCCTTGGGGGAAATTGTGCTACAACGATAAGCCCTACCCCACACCTATGGAATGAAAATCACTTGTGATTCACATGCACATTACAGATTAAGAAGCTCCACTTTAGGTGCGCCCGGCTGGCTCAGTCAGTGGAACGTGGGACTCTTGAGCTTGGGGACCTGAGTTCGAGCCCCACGTTGGGCGGAGAGATGACTTTACAAAAATAAAAAAGCCGCAGCAGCACTGCCCTGGAGCTACGCAGAGGCTGCACCCATACCTCTGCTCTGTTCTTGGCCTGCATCTCATTCACCCTTTTTTCCTTCGTGGTCACAGAGCGGCTGCTGCAGCTTCTAATGTCCCCTCTAGGTTCTAGGCAGGAATTAAGTGAAGAGGCGGGTCACTCTGTTTATCCTTGGTTGTCTGGAAGTGGAAACCTTCCC